ATAATTTGTCTGGAGTGAAATAGTGGCCGGGACTGGTTGGGAAAAGTGAAAGAGCAGCACTCATTAACAAGGCACTTAACCCGAAATGCTCCAATGGAATAATCAATAAAGCTTTCCTCTGGATTAATAAAGGTAAAACACCACAAAAAGAATAATAAAAGATAATCTCAAACTCTTACACAATACTTCAGCTAGCCCACAAAAAGCAACCTCCACACCCCTGCAAATCAAGCAGTGTTCCTCAAAATAAATCTGAAATTAGCTATGTAAAGTTTTCTAAAATTAGTCCAAATCAGTCAGATTGGCAAAGCACAAGTGTCTTTCCTCAACTGCAAACCCGGGAAAAATATATTGCCAACCAAACAAGTAACGACTACCCGTGCCATTGTAGCATGCTCAAATTCACCAGTGGCCTCATTTATAACTATTCCATAAGCACAAAAAAGGTACCACTTAGTAAGCATTAAATGTTGTTAAAAAAATCTTGTGAAATGTGCGTAGGCTACATTTAGAGAAACTCATGCGTGCAAACACTTTGGAGATGAGGGAAAGTGGTGTTGCCCATGGTGAGGTGGCTAATCAGCAGATTTAGATTGCCTAGAGCTGTGCTCTTGGATCTGTGTACTGACCAGGTCCAGCATTACACAGACCAATGCGAAAGAACCACACCATCCCTGTACAAATATAGGTTGGCTATGGTGGCTCAGGAGGTAGAGCAGGTTGGCCGTTAATTGGAAGGTTGGCGGTTCAATCCTGGCTCCCCCAGGCTGCATGTCGACGTGTCCTTGGGCAAGATGCTGAGCCCCCGGCGGCTTTTCCGCCACTGTGTGAATGTTAGTTTCTGTTTAGGCTCAGTGTGTGAATGGTGAATGCAGATGTAGTGTAAAAGTGCTTTGAGTGGTCGAAAAGACTAGAAAGGCACATTTACATTTACTGGCTGTCAACTCAAAATCACCAGCTTTGCTCAAATTCCTTCTTAGCCCAGACCATTGAGAGATATTTTGGTTGATGGCAGCCATGTTTTTTGGAGAACCTAGTCCCACAATGCTGTTTCCTTTTGGTGTTGATACAGTCCAGCAAAACAGTAGATGTCACACTACTACTCAGAAAATTGCAAATTAGAAAAAATTCCATCATGGTGACATCGTGAGCAATGTATAATCCTCAGTCAAATTCCTCATATGTGCACACATACCTGGCAATAAAGCGGATTCTTTTTCGTGCAAATTAGAAAAAATTCCATCATGGTGACATCGTGAGCAATGTATAATCCTCAGTCAAATTCCTCATATGTGCACACATACCTGGCAATAAAGCGGATTCTGATTCTGATTCTGATTTATTGCCCAGGAGGCTTTTTGTAGATCACATTGACCTGGGCTTGTGTGAAAAATGTCATTTGGACTTGTGTCAGGGGCTTTCCAAAATTGCATTTTTGTGCCATAATTAATGAAGCGCCACCATCTGGCTGATTGAGCTCATATTTCTGTTGAAGCACTTCAGCAGGCAGGGGACACATAGAAACAGTTGTTTGTGGCTGGCTGCTGTCTCTCTCTCTCTCTGTGTCTCAGCATTGTTAATTGTCCTGAACAACCCTGACTCCTAGAATTTATATTTGTTTATTAAATTCTTTTCCTAATTACTTTGGGGTGACATTGAAATGGCTGCCCGGATTATGTTCAGAGACAAAGTTTCTTTGAGTTAATGAAACACTACAGTTATCTAATAGGACTTCACTCTAAAGATAATGTGAATGAGTTCACTCAAATATTGGTAGGAACAATTCTGTCCTCCCAAAATTGTGGGGAGGGACCTTTCCCTACTGTCCATATGCAAACCTATGCATTTGAATAGATTTCAGCAATATAAGATTTTTCCCACATAATGTGTATCAATCATTTAGATTACACATGATTTACATTTTGTTTTTGGCAAGTTTATAATGTTTTACAGTCAATGCATTACTTGAATATTAAACCAGACTGCTAGGATAGACACAATAAGATCCACATTACTACTGTAAAGACTAAAAGTAAGTAATATTTTTATCAGCTTGAGGTTGAACTAATCCATGTTTGTTACATGATAACGTTACATTTACTGCATTTAGCCGACATGCTACAGCATTAGATCGCCTGCTGAGCCGGGCTGAATATTATAGAGACTTTAGAGATTTTATAACAGTTAGACCGCAGTAAGTAACTTTACTGTAGTGTCAGTGGATGGCTATTCCTCTGGGTTGTTGGCTGCTCTGCCTGCATCACTATAGGCTAGTAAACAAATCGCCCCACATTTGCTTTATACAGTTGCATAATTTCTTGCAGGCTAAATCAACACTTTGACATGATACTGGTGGTACACAGGATAGTAACATGGGTTATGTTAGTTGGTGAAGTAATGTGGAAAGCCATAATGTTACATATTATATATTGCACCATATAAAGTTAGCAACTGCTCGGGGTTAGCCAGCAAGCTAACGTGACTCTCTCCTTGACTTTCTGATGTGACTGTTTTTACCCAACATCATCTGATTCTCGTTTGGTCTGACAGACTTCAGAACATAAACCTTTATTGTTGTTTTGTATTCTTACGTGGAGTTTATGTTGGAGTCAATGGTTTGTGGTCTTAGTCGCCTGCATGTCGTTAGCTGCGGTGTTGTCGCTGTGGTCGGAGAGAGACTCGGGAGTGCATACAGGGCTACATCCTGACCCGGTGTCCTCACCGGGCCCGCCGTCAGGAGGTGTCAAAGGGTACAGATGGCCCCCCATGGTTGACCCTTAAATGGTATCAACTACAACACTTAACCTACAGTGTTATGTATGACAAAACTTTTTAGATGATAAATTAATGTATTATTATCATTAAATCATATTTCATACTTGTCATCTGATAACCCACCCCCTGCTGTTGTCAAAAATGGTACAGTCGAAACATTCGGCCATTCAGATGTGCAGCACCCGCAAATGTAAAGCGAGTCGCTTTAAGTGAACACTGCTGCCTGTCAGGTATGGAACATCCAAAGTGACAGAACTGAATGAAAGAATAAATAAATAAATGGGGAAATAAATGCAAGAAAGAATGAATGAATAAAAGAATAAATAAATAAATGGGGAAATATATCAAAGAAAGAATGAATGAATAAAAGAATAAATAAATAAATGCAGAAATATATCAAAGAAAGAAAGAATGAATAAAAGAATAAATACATACATTTGCTTTTGCCTTTGCCTGACTGATACTATCTTCAGTGTGGATATGCTGTCCCTGGAAGAGTGTTATGATTGGTAGAAAGTTTAGAAGGAGTTATGCTGCATTCAAGACCGGTCGGAACTGGGATATTTCCCAGTTGAAACTTCCGACTTCCCACATCAAAGCGTTCCAGGTGCATGACACCGAAAGTGAACGAAAACCATGGCTAACTGTGACAACGTGTACACACAGTTGCACCCTCAGCAGTGTTTTAGGTGTTAATTAAAAGGATGGCAGTTTAACTGCAACAACTTAATATAACATAAATAGTCTATAGTTACTAGTTAAAGGTTCAGTGTATAATATATCTGAGGATCTATTGACAGAATTGCAATTTAATATCCATAACTATGTTTTCAGTGGTCCTTGCATAATGAACCCCTATTTCTATCTACATACAGAGGCACCCCCTGCTGTGGAGGTCGACATATTGTGTCATCATGTTTCTATCGTAGCCTACAGCAAACAAACAGCGCTTTCGTCACTACCTGGAAAGAGAAGCAACAGAAGAAGTAGCAGCAGAAGAAGCAAGAGCAAGAGCAAGAAGAAGTTGTACGTTTCTAACTACTAGGTAGTAGTAGAAGCTCTCCTTTATTAGTAGTGGAATTTTGGACAAATGGAGGACCACAGCTATTATTTAGCACAAGAGCCGACGGAGGGTGAATCTGCTTCGAAGAAGCGAAAGCATGATGAAGCCAGACTTACAACGGGAGCGATGCAGGCAGAAATCACAGGTAAACATCGATGTGGCTTTTCCCATATGGAAGGGTCTAATGAGGGAAAAATGTTTTCAAAGCGACGCCGAGGTTGCCAGTTTTCTGATGGACAGGTAGGGTATTCCAACTTTAGCATTGCAAATGAAAGCTTGTTTGATAATGTTAGCATTAGCCAGAAGCTAGCCATAGACACCGTGAGAAGTGACTTTTCCCTTGTCAGTGGTGTAAAATATGTAGTTGGATAGTTTCATGTGGTTCTTCTCCCTTGCTGTGTTATGGCTTCGCTATGTGGGGATAAATGTGCTGGTTACGTTCGTGAGACAATCAGCTGATTAGTATTATTGACCGTAAAGCAGCAAGTTAGCCTACAGCATAACAGCTCATATTAGCCAGCTAAACTTTTACTACCCTGTTAGAAGAAATATGTAATGTTAGTTGGATTGTTATTTCGAAGGTTGTTCTCCAGCGCTTCGTCTTCGTTTAGTGAAAAGAAATGTGTCTTTTGTGTTTGTGAGACAATCAGCTGATGATTACAATTAGCTAAAAAACCGTAACATTGCATGGAGCATGGTGGCTCAGATTAGCAAGGTAAATGTTTACTGCCCTGGGGGAAAACATTTATTTTTACTGCTAACAGCATTATGATAACAACACTGTGTGCTTATCAAGTATCAATTATGCTTATTGTCAGAATTTACATTAGAAACAACGTATTTGTTTGTATTGCTTCTACACTGCATACAAAGGTTACCACAAGCTCAAATTATGGCACTCAGTATTTATTTGTGTTATATTATATTGTAGAGCACCCTTGATCCTCACCTGACTATGGCTTTGTAAACTTACCCATGATGTGTTTTATAATGGACTGTGGTACAGAAACAGGGACATTTTTTACACACTCTTGGCTTAAGTTTTCCATGTTGTCTGTCGGTGATCATACTTGCACTAGATGTGATAGTTTTTGGGATGTTCAATTTATTAGACAAGATGAGCAAACCCTACAAAGATGTAACACATTGGGGATTACAGTACAGTAATGTAATACAGTCATGTAGCACTTCATTTATTGAGGCTGCTGCTGTTTCTCCAGCTACGAGACAGGTCCTGCAACATCGACTCCCTTGAAGAGAAAACCTTTGCAAGTCCCAGCTCCAGCATTGTCTAGCATTGGTGCTTCTAGTGGAACAGACCGGTAAGTCATGCATAACAATATATTAATTTTGTCCTAATAGCTTTGATTAGAAACATGAACTTTATGATTAGTGTGTAATAGTGTGTTATTTTATTTTTGGTCTATATCTACTGTTGAATGAGCATATGTGGAATTTACACAACTTGCTCTGGTTATTCTTTACAGAGATGAGCATCTTGATGTCATTCCAGAAGCCACAGAAATTCAGGGCCTTGAACAAAGGTAACATGTACACATCATAACTTTTAGCCCTGTATTGCTTTTCTCCAAATGTTCATAATATATATTTGTTATATGTTTTTTGCAGCTTACATGACATGAGCATTGTTGAGGAGGACTTGGAGGAAAATGTTTTCAATGACCCAATGAACAGTGTGTAAGTAGTACTTCCTAATTACATGTACTATTTTTCAGTGATATTATTTGAGAACTTGTTTTTATCTGAAAGTTGTCATTATGTAAATAATTGATTGGGCAGATAAAGCTTCATCTTACTCCCTTGAAAGAGATGATGGACAGAATGGTTTCAGCTCTGATGAAGAGGATCTTCCACCGATTTCTATACGGTGTGTTATTTGTCAGTCTTAATTTGCAATTGTTTTGTGGTGTTTGTTTACTACAGATTTTTGTGCCTCAATAGAATGGGTGGAGCACTGAAGAAAGCACACTCTATCGATGGACTTCCTTGCCTGCACATTAAGACCCTCCTGATGAGCCTTCTCTCCCTGTGATCATGACCCTGTTTTCCCAGAGCCACAGAATGTCCTTTGTGAAGATGACATCATAGGTGTAAGAGCCTCCATAGTGTATGAGAACTGCTTAAGACAACTGGCTACATTTCTGATCCTGCCTGTGGCTAAATGCACTGGCCTTCTGAGGACTGGTGCGCCGTTCAACTCTGTTGCACCCTTTGAGATCAACATCACCACCAAAGGAACAGCAGCTACTATCGAATGGGTAAGTCCAGAAAATCACAGAATATCTCAACTTTAAATTAGTATAAAATGAAAGATTATACCAAAAGCCAGTGCTGTACATGACAAAAGCAAATGTTTCTTCTGTGGGACTTTTAGAATAATGGACACAGCTTGTGGAGGTGGAATTCCCAGCCTGTGATGAAGTTTGGGATGCAAGCTGGAGATTTTCTCTTGTCCACCAACATTTTGTTGTCTGGCAACAACTAAACTAAAAATAAAGTTAATATTCTGTACATCAGGGTTATTGAACTATGTGCAGTTGATGGATGACAGTATGGAAGGTTTCATTGCACTCAAAGACAACAGATTTTGTTTACTTTCCTCTGCCAGAAGATGTGTTACTCATTCATTTACTCACATTTACACTTTCACCTGTACACACAGACTATAGTTGAATGCCTGTATTTTACAGTAATATTTATTTTTCTCTTTTCAAGGCAGCAAAGATAAAAGGAGAGTCCATCCATCCACACTATTTAGGGCCCGAGCACGACCGTGCGAGGTCCCTATTGAATTTGCTCGGATATATATATATATATAATTTTTTTTTTTTTTTCTTTTTTTTTTTTTTTTCTGCAAAGTAGGCTCAACTGACATGGCCTAAACATACTCGAAAACTCACCAAAATTTGCAAACATGTCAGAACCGGGGAAATATTTCGTATTCTACAAGTTTCGCACATGGGCGTGGCAAAATGACTCGCTAGCGCCACCTACAAAATTGGAAAAGATTAGCCCCTCGTTCACGTTCAACCTACATGTACGAAATTTTCTGGGGACATGTATCGTATCAAGACGCACAAAAAAGCCTCAAGAACCCATAGCCTAAAGTCAACAGGAAGTCGGCCATTTTGAATTTTACGGCCATTTTTGCATGATTTACACACTTCGTACTTTAACGAACTCCTCCTAGGGATTTAGTCGGATCAACGTCAAATTTCTGCTGTGCCTTCTAAAGGCATTGACGATGAAAAGTTGTGCTATTTGCAAGTTTTCGTCAATGGGCGTGTCCGTGGCGTGGCGTCAAAGATCAACTCTTCGCCATGACACAGGAAGTTGTCGTAACTTCAGTGTATATGCTCACATCTGGACCAAAGTGTACATGTAGGATGAGAGTCCAGCCCTGAACACATTTACATGCCGACATTCACCCACAGTCATAGTGCCACCTGCTGGCAACAGGAAGTGACTTTTAACGAAGCAGCCCCCGTCGCACGTTTCGCCTATGTGCACGAATTTTCAGTGATACGTGTATCTTGTCCAGACGCACAAAAAAGCCTCTTGGAGCGATGCCCTAAAACCAACAGGAAGTTGGCCATTTTGAATTTTACGTCAAATTTTGGATGATTTACACACTTCGTACTTTAACGAACTCCTCCTAGGGATTTAGTCCGACCGACTTCAAATTTCTGCTGTGCCTTCTAAAGGCATTGAAGATGAAAAGTTGGATTGCATGGACACAGAACTGCGGTATAGGGAGAAGCACACGGTCAGCTAGCTGCAGCTAAATCTGGAGTGCACTCGTATTCAATTCTGTATGGTAAATTCAGTTTTAACGGAGCAGAGCGAGCTGACAGGCAGAGTTAGAGACTTTTTCTGTCCGTTTCTCTCTTTACAAAGACGCATGTTGCAGTCAGAGTCTTCTCTGAGATGCGAGCACGACATACAACACAATTTATCAAATTACACAACGGATATACAGTATGAAAATAAGATTGATTGGATTATACTCACAGGAAGTATAAAACCTGTTACATGCGTCTATTAAAAGTAAAGTAACACAAAAATGTCAGGGAAATGACTTTACTTAGATTTAAGTACTGCAGTTGTACATTTGAAATACCTTCCTACCTTTCTGATAGGAAGCCTTCTTGAGGTGGTATAAAACATTTCTTCTTATATTCTGATTTGAGTTGTGGACAACTATGACCACATGAATTAAAAAAATTAAACATTTCACTGCCCAAGTCAGCTATAACACAAGTCTTGTTCATCAGACTACATGCTGTGGACAGATTTTGTCCCAGGATTTATTATGCATTTCTTCTTCTTCGTTGCATGATTTAGAATAATAAGGTGAGAAATGGGTCTATTCTGAGTTCATCCTGCACTGCAGCAGCTAATAAAATCCATTTAATCCCAAAAACGCTTTTCTTTTAGGCAGGCTGGAGCAGAAAACAACTCACCTTTCTCAAGTTGTACAGTAATGTCACATGTGTATGAAGGTGGATCAAACAAGCTAATCTTAAATGTCAAAGTAGAGAGGAGCCTAGTAGGCCTATTTATTTTCATTCATTACACAATATGAATAAGCTATGCAGACAGTTGTAAAGAAAGAACATCTTTTTCTTCTGTTCTCTACTTGTTATAGTTACACAGTATTAGGGGTGTGGGCTGTATTAAAAGTATCCACTGTTCTCCCATGCTCTAACACACAGTAACGATGAAATGTGTGCTGTTCTCACATTCTTCCTCTGTATGTACACATAAACAACAAGGCAGGGAAATATAAAAGGAATTTATTTTATTGTTTGGGTACATTATTGTTCCGTGTACATGCTCACATCTGAAACAAACTTTACGTGCTTGATAACTCTCCCACCCCGCAGACATCTACACACCAATACCGATTTATATTCATAGCGGCAAGTGCTATGTAGCTCCACATAGGGGACACAGGAAGTGACATATAACACCTTCATGCGGCGTCATAACCGCGTAGCAAATTCACAGCCGCACCGGCAGAGCTCCAGAATATGCAACTCGGCCGGCTCACACGCGGACGCGCTTACAAGTGGGCCCGCCCAACGCTGCTTGCAGCTTTAATTTTCTATTTAACTTTTTTATATTTCCCTGTTGCTTTTATATTTTATGTAAAGCACTTTCAATAATCTTGTTGTTGAAATGTGCTGTACAAATAAACTTGCCTTGCCTAAAGTTGACAAACACTCTGCAAATTCAGATAAGAATTCAGAGTACGGACCAGGTGCTCAGTACACGATAACAAATAGAATTGGTTGCAGTGATTTCCAACTTTGGTGTGAAAGACTAAGATCAAGGCTTTCAAATGAGTTATAATTTAGTTTATATATTTAGTTTTATTTAGAGCTGATTAGTAGGCTAGAGTCGAAAATAGCTGCAACTCCACCTCCTCGGCCTGTGCCTTGAGGAATGTGAGTATTAATATAACTGGGAGGGGTGGATTAATTTAGGCTTACATATTCTCCATCACCCAGCCAGGTTTCAGTAAGACAAAATAAATTGATATCATAATCTGATATTAATTAATTTACTAGTACACCTTTAGAAGAGAGATCTGATGTTTAATGATGAGTCCACATTTAATTCTCCTTCTTTTGCACTATTGCACTTGTGGTTTTTATGCACAGCTCCTCTTCTGTTTACCTTTGATTTAAATAATTTCAGTGGTTGGGGGGTAGACTCCGTCACTATGGGGTTTTGACTAGGTAACTCCTGAAATGAAGGAGCAGAGAAGTGTGTTAGACTGCGACTCTGCTTCCTGGTCTCAACTCTGGGTTTTCATGGATTTGGTCCACTAATAAACTTGCCGTCTCTCCGAATCAGACCAGGTCTTCCCCAGCCTGTCCCCACGTGCTCAGGCGTCACATTTACACGCTTTGGAAAAGCCGTGTGTATTGTATGCAAAACGGCCATTTTGCGTGTATATGAGATGCATCCAGGCCGCGTGTGTATGTGGCGCCTGGGGTCGCTACTAGCGCTTCCGGTCGCTAACTAGCTAGCTTGCTAGTGATGTTTTTGTTTAATAATAATAATAATAATAACAATAATAATCTTTATTTGTAGAGCACTTTTCAAAAACAAGTTACAAAGTGCTTTAACAAGTGTAAAGACAATAATACCCAAGAGACAATAATACAAAAACAATACAAGATAAAAGCATGAAAACATACAAAACACATGTTTAAGATAAATATAAAATTAGTAAAATACAATAAAATAAAAGGGATAACATAAAGTCAAATAAGATCGGGAAAGACTCTCCTATAAAAGTATGTTTTAAGAAGGGACTTAAAAGAGTTCACTGACTCAGCAGACCTGATTTCCTCAGGCAGGCTGTTCCAGAGCCTCGGGGCCCTGACAGCAAACGCTCTGTCCCCTTTAGTTTTCAGTCGAGACTCTGGAACAGATAGCAGACCTCTGCCCGAGGGTCTCAAGGTACGTGCTGGTGTGAATGGGACTAAAAGTTCAAAAATATAAAAAGGCGAGAGGCCACGAAGAGCTTTAAAAGTAATCAATAGAATTTTAAAGTCAATTCTAAAACACACTGGGAGCCAGTGTAATGAAGCTAAAATAGGAGTAATGTGGTCATATTTCTTTGTTCTGGTTAAAAGCCTGGCAGCTGAGTGCTGGACAGTCTGGAGTCGATCAATAGATTTTTGGGTTAAACAGGTGAAAAGGCTGTTGCAATAATCCAGGCGTGATGAGATGGAGGCGTGTAAAATGGTCTCGGTGTCCTTAAAACTTAACATAGATGGAATTTTTGCTATATTTCTAAGTTGATAAAAACATGATTGAACAAGCTTTGTGGTGTGCTGCTCGAAATTTAAATTACTATCAAACCAAACACCAAGGTTCTTTGCCACAGGCTTAATGGGATTTACTAGGGAACCAGCAGATGCCATCTGCTGAAACCCAATGACCAGGATTTCTGTTTTGTCTGAGTTCAGCTGGAGGAAATTATTTGACATCCATTTTTTAACTTCACAAAGGCAGTTGTTAAGTGAACTCAGCATTCCAGGGTCTGTGGATCTGACGGGCAAGTATATTTGTGTGTCATCAGCATAAATATGAAAAGAAATGCCATGTTTATGGATAATATGTCCAAGGGGAAGCAGATACAAGGAAAACAAAATGGGTCTTAAGACCGACCCCTGAGGCACACCATATAATATATAACTGGAAAAAACGAAGAGACATAGTTGTTTACAGACACACAAAACTTCCTATTTGACAGGTAGGATGAAAACCATTCTAGGGCAGTACCAGAGATCCCCACCCAGCGCCTCAGTCTGTCTAACATGATGTTG